CGGAAATGTCTGACTGCAGAATATGGTCTTTATATTCATCGAGGGTTATTTTTTGCAAGTCATACATTGGCTTTTTTACTTATAACTCTCTCTCTCAAAGGATGCTTTCCATAAATGCTTGCAGAAGGTCTTCGCTCCTAATGTTAAAATTTGAGGGAATCACTACTGAGAAGAGACGTAATGTAATGATATGCTTCAACCTCACAGATCAAATCGCACTTTTTCTCCGGCAATATGTGTGATGAATTTCGCAGCGGCTGAGTATCATATCATCCTTTTTTCTGTAGTGTGAGGTCGATTGGCATCTACAGTTTTGGGTTGGGTTTCTCCTAGTACAATTGATGGTTTCCTCTCTCTTGCTCTTTTGGGTATGAGAATGAACAAGGAGGTTAAAGGTCTATATGGGCCTTTTTTTATTGGGATGTGGGTGATTTGATTAGAGAAAATGCCAAAAAATATTAAATGGATCAATGTTCCCCTCTTGTGACTTTTGAGGAAATCTATCTTTCATGGATTCTCTATCGGCTAAAACAGGTTTTTTAAGGATTTATCTTTATCTGTATTATATAGACATAGGCTAGCTACTTCACAAGATTAGTTGACCTTTTTTTTTCTCTCTTTTCTTTTTTGAGGACACTTAATCCTCTCTATTTTGAACTCTGTTCTTCCCTTCACTAATATTTCTTTTTCTATCAGCAAAGGGAAAAAACAAAAGGGAAAAAGAAAATTGAACTATAGAAGAGATGATTAATATTTCCTTTTCTCCCTAACAAATGTGTAACGGAGCTAAGCAGCTAAAAGCCTTGATCTTATCCTTTTGTGAATTTCTTGGACAAAACAAGCATGGGGCAGGGACTCTTGGCTTGGAACATATTTTGAAGGTGTCCATTCTACTGAAGAGGGGATTAACAACAGTTATAATGCTTTTATTTCAAAAAAAAAAATAGTTATAATGGCTGCATGTGCATGAAAGAAAAGCAGCTAGAAGCCTAGACTTATCCTTTATACTTTTAGACAAAATTGGCTTGAGGGAAGGGCCTCTTGGCTTAGAAGTGTATTTTGATAACATACAACCTATGGAAGAGGAGATCAACCGTAGTTAGTGGCTGCATCTGTATGGTTACAGAGCAGCTGAAAGCCCTGGCCTCATCCTTTTCTTGTTCTTTTATACAAAATGATCTTGGGGCACGGGATGCTCATCCTTGCTTGAAATGGTAGTAGCAAACAAGGCAGTGCATGAATTATGGGCTTCAAAATAGATTCAGTATCTAAGGACTTGAGGAAGCCATTGCAATTGCCTCGGGGTATTAGACTATAGTATATGGGTGGCACCTCCATGCCATAGCTAATATTATTTTCCTACCAAAAAGTATATTAAAAAATTTTAAAACTAGTAGATGAGATATAAATTTGAATTACTAACAGGTCCTATCAGAACAATCACATGACATGAAAGAACTTTCGTATTACTTGCATTATTAGTTTCTGTTTGGTTAATAATGAAAAGCAATTTACATTCTAGCAAGTAATCACCAAAATTTTGTGGATAGGAGAGAGTGAATATTGATAATGTACCAAAAGAGGGGCAAAAACTGCATACCTAGAAAGCATAAAAGAACTATACAAATGTGAGAAAGAAATGAGCAAAAGAATCAAAAAAGAAAAGACAACATTTGAGATGAAGCAAGTTTTGTTTTGAAGAGAGTGTGTGATGGTTGCATGGGCAAAATAAGAAAGTAATATGTTGAAATGATGCTAATTAACATGCATAGACAAGCAATCTAAGCATCTCTTCAATACCCTCCTCCTCGTTCCTTACAACAATATTCATACCGGGAAAGAACCTCCAGCAAATCTACCACTATGACAATCATATGTTTTGACATTATGAATCTGTCCACATGACACATCATAGCCTGAAACTTCTAAAATAATGGGCAGCGAAGAAGTGAACAGGCCATCTTCCAAAAATGGAGCATCAACTAACAAGAGCTTTCCTCCATGAACTTTTTGCCATGACAAAGCCACAGTTCATTCAGGAAAAAAAAAAAAACTAAAACTTTTCATTCTATGTTACTTTTTATGAAACTATTTAGGGGTTAATTCTTGGAACCAGCATGGTCAGATCTCAAGTTGACCGGATTGGGCAGTTTTCAACTCTGTACGTAGATCGAGATGATTTAGTAAGGTAGGGCTCAACCAAGCTAGGCAACATAATAGACATCAGTTCTTATTATTCATCTCCAGATATTCAAAGGGATACAAGTACCAGAGTGATTTTATTTCAATCTATTGAGAACATGACCTTGCCATTCAAGACACCATAACAAGTGTAAGTTTTCACTTCTCAACCTAATGAGAATGGAAATTTTAGCAGAATTCCTCTATCACACATGCACAGAAAAACGACTACGACAATCACAAGCAAATGCATGAGAAAGTAGGCACTCAAAATCATGGATTTTGCCCTAAATATTCCACTTGCCTGCTTACCAAATAAAGACGCAACCAAGGACACAAGCCGTTCTTCCAACTCCTCTTGGTATCTCTCTTTCTTATTCTTCTTGTTCATGGGAATCTAAACATTAGCAGAAATAAGGAAATTATTATCCAGTGAGAAATATGTTTCTCGTAATTATCCAAGTCCCGAACTTCCAACTGGAAATTGGGCAGCAACGTGGTTTAAAACAAGCTTATTGAAGAAATAAACAAAATTGCGGAGCAAAATGGTTATCCCAGTTCAAGAACTCAATTCACGAAATAGGACCATCAGCCTCTCTTTTCCAAGAAAACAGAACTAGAGAAATATAACAGAACAAC